TCTCTGTTGGCTTGTCAGAGCCTGGAGCCTGTTTCTACTATGTGTCTCCTCTCTGCCCCTCCTCCATTCATGCTCTGTCTCTCTCTGTCCCAAAAAATAAATAAACGTTGAAAAAAAAAATTAAAAAAAAAAAATAGTAAAGTAACAAGAATTTAAAAGTATTCAATTTGCAACAAATGCAAACATTATATGCATAATTGGGGTCACAGAAAATTTGATACACCAGTATCTTTGACCTCTCCTTGGTGAACAATTTTATATAGAGGTTGTATGTTGAATTCTCTGCCTGCCCTCCCCTGCTGCTTCATTTGTTTTCTTATGGTAATTTTTTCCCACTTTCAAATTTAGGTGGAGGAACACAGTTAATTAACTTTAAGTGTGACCCTACTTTAGTTGGCTCAAACTGTTAAGATGCTGAAATTAAAGTGTGTATTTGTGACATGAAACAGGCCTTGGAAATACTGGATGAGGGAGTTCTCCCACTCCTTGGGATAGGAAGTAGAGGGAAGGATTTTGGCTTTCGCAAAGCTCAAGATATTTGTGTGAAATCACTTTGGAAAGTCCTTACCTAAGATAATCCATAAGGATTGAGTTGTCATTGTCACCGGCCCCAGTTCACCTTTCCTTGGAAAGTCCCGAGGACCAATAAAGGGTCCTGTAATAGAGGTAGGGTGTGACCCGGAGCCTTGTGGAGAAAAAGAGGTCCTAAGAGTAGCCTTCTGTTCAATTTACTAAACTCTCATCTACTCTGTCTCTGTGGCCTACCTAATTAATTAAGACTTAGGAAAGTGCTTTTTCAGCTTTGAAACACTCCCACCTTTTACGGTATCTGACTTGTTTATGGCATCTACTCAGAAGGAATGTCTCCATATGCATGAAGAGCAGTTTAATACGATGGCTAAGAATGAGATTTAAATCCAGACTAAACGGATCAGAATCCGGGCTTCACCACTTACTAGTTCTATGACCTTGGGTAAACTATTTATACGAGCTGTGCCTCTGTATTCTCATCTATAAAATGGGAATAAAACTAGGAGTTTGGGGGAAGAATTAAACTAGCTTATACATGCAAAGCACTTAGGTGCCTAGCATATGATACATGCTTAATAAATATTAGTCATTATCATTAGTTGTAATTACAATTTCTCTTAACAATCAAGTCCCTGGGGCACCTGGGTGGCTCAGTCAGTTAAGCCTCTGACTCTTGATTTCCGCTCAGGTCGTGGTCTCACGATTCATAATGGGTCCACTGACAGCCTGCTTGGGATTCTCTTTCTCTCTCTGTCCTTCCTGCTTGCTCTCTCGCTGTCTCCTGTGTGCTTGTGTTTTCTCAAAATAAATAAATAAACTTTTAAAAAAAGTAGGAAAAAGTCAAGTTACCCATCCATTCCTACCATCCCCATAGCCCCTAAAACAGACACACTGTCACTTGCTACTTTCAGTTTCCACCTAATAAAGCATGGGCGTTGATTGTTCTAAGACAAATAAAGAGCCACCGAATTTTTTTTAAGGTTTATTTATTTTTGAGAGAGTGCGAGCAGGGGAGGTACAGAAAGAGAGGGAGACAGAGGAGCTGAAGCTGGCTCCGTGCTGACAGCAGAGAACCTGATGCAGGGCTCAAACTCACACATCGTTAGATCATGACCTGAGCCACCCGGGTGCCCCCAGAGCCTCATGATTTTTAATTACCACATACTGTTTTTTTATATGGATATTTCTTGGTCTACTTTAACACTTTAAATGAGCATCTTTGTATCTATTTCTTTTTTCATTTTGCCCAGCTATCATTAGATTAATCCTTAGAAATGGAATTACTGATTGAAGTATATGCTTTCAATACTGATTGAAAGTATATGCACTTAAAATTTTTTGATATAAATTTGATACAAGTGTTCAACGAAAAGTTCTGTTTGGGGGCGCCTGGCTGGCTCAGTCAGTTGAGCATCCGACTCTTGATTTCAGCTCAGGTCATGATCCCAGGGTTGTGGGATCAAGCCCTGTGTTGGACTCCTTGCTGGCCATGGTGCCTGCCTGAGATTCTCTCTCCTTCTCTCCCTCTCCCCTGCTTTCTCTGTCTCAAGAAATAAAATAAATTCTGTTTGGTTGTTTCCGTGTCTTTTAACTTAATTAATTAATTTTTTTAAAGTAAGCTCTAGGCCCAACACGGGACTTCACCTTACAACCCTGAGATCGGTAGTCCACGTGCTCCGCCGATGGAGCCAGCCAGGTGCCCCTGATGGTTTCCACGTTTTGCTGTTTTGGGAACCCTGGGTCTGCTGCCTCATTTTATTCTTTTAAGCTTTTGTTTAATTTCTGGTTAGTTAACATACAGCGTATGTAGTATTAGTTTCGGGTGCGTAATACAGGGATTCAGCGTTTCCATACAGTACCCTCTGCTCATCACAAGTGTGCTCCTTAATCCCCTCTCACCTATTTAACCTGTTCCCCTGCCCACCTTCCCTCTGGTGCCATCAGTGTGTTCTCTACAGCTACGAGGAGTCTGTTGGTTGGTTTCTCTTTTTCCTTTTGCTCATTTGTTTGTTTGTTTGGTCTTTTTTTTTTTTTTTTTTTTTTTTTTTTTTTTTTCTCCTGTTGATTACCTTTTTTTTTTGTTTGTTCGTTTGTTTTGTTTTTAAATTCAAGTTAGTTCACATACAGTGTGGTATTGGTTTCAGGACTAGAACCCAGTGATTCATCACTTACATAGAACAGCCAGTGCTCATCCTTAATACCCATCACCCATTTAGCCCATTCCCCCCAGCAACCCTCAGTTTGTTCTCTGTATTTGACTCTCTTAAGGTTTGCCTCTTTCTCTGTTTTTATCTTATTTTTCCTTCCCTTCCTCTGTGTTCATCTGCTGTGTTTCTTAAATTCCGCATATGAGTGAAATCATATGACACTTGCTTTCTCTGGCTTATTTTGCTTAGCAAATAATACACTCTGGTTCCATCCACGTTGTTGCAAATGGCAAGATTTCATTCATTTTGATCACCAGGTACTATTCCAGTGTGTGTGTGTGTGTGTGTGTGTGTGTGTGTGTGTGTGTGTGTGTGTGCGCGCGCGCACCCCATATCTTATTTATTTGTCATTCTCTTACTGACTTATTTTGCTTAGCATCATACTCTCTAGCTCCATCCATTTCATTGCAAATGGTGCTGCTTTATTTTATACACTTGATTTTAAAAGCCAGGATTTCCAGTACTTCAAATCCAAACCCAGATTTTAGTCTGGTAGGTTTTTTAAGCTTTTCCCAACTTTTTCATAGTATTTACGAGTTCCAAGGTAAGGGTAAGAACTTGAAGCTTTGTTTGATATTTCACAAATTAAATAATTTGGGGATAATACTAACATTTTAACTAGACCGTTGTATTAGTTAGGTTTTCTCATTGGTCTAGGAGGCTTCCTCCTGGGAAGGCAAAAAGTTTACCCCAGAAATCACAAGACTCTTTGAAGGACAATAGCCCCCTTAGTCATGATACCTGGGGGGTAGGAGGGTAGCAAGAGCGAACTCATGCAATACCTCAGCCAGTATGACCTCAGTCTGTGCTGCTGATTGACAGGAGAATCATTCCTAGAGAAGACTCATTTCTGTGGTCAGATCCTGTCTGGATTGGTGTCTGTTCTATTAGGAAAGTATTCAGAATAGCTGATGCCACACCGTACTCTGAGATGCCCACTCCATATTCTGAGAATTGGTACCTTCTCATTACATGGTAAGTTACTCTTAAGTTGGATCCCGAGAAGACCATCACTTACTCCGCTTTTTCAACCTTGACACTTTGTCATCAACACCGTGTCCCCAAAAACCCTTTGCTGAAGGGGAAGGCACCTCTGTCTCCCAGAATGGGAGCACCCCCGCTGCCATGAGGTTAATACACTGTTGGGATTCCTTCTGCTGATGATTTTTGTCTTTTTTAAGGGACCCTGCAGCTTTAACAATTTTTCTTCTTGAATATTAGTATTTACTGACACCTGGGTACATATGTACATTTTACGTATGTATTGAGACAAATTTCTTTGGTCTTAAGCAAACTAAAGCAAACTTACTCTGGCATGCAGAGTAAGAGGTTGGGAGAACTAGCAGTTGTTACATAAATGCAGAAAGGGCTCTGAAAGATCATGCTCCTGTGTGACATTTGTTATCCGTAAGGTTTTCTAGCATAAGCCACATTTCTGTTGTTCCAAAATTTGGTCAGCAAAGCTCACAGATCCAGCCTGGAGGGCCTTCATAGCCACTCTTGGTACCGCGGCCTACCTCTTCACTGGAATGTCTTCATACTGTGCCTGAAATTTCGCCCCCATTTGTGCTAGTGAAGCCCACAGTTAGAGGCCTAGAGGCCACTATGCTAACAAATGAGAACTGCGTGCCTCCTTTTTTACCTGTGTTGGGTAACAGCAGTTATTTTATTTTTTAAGTTGCATCCAGGAACTAGCCTGTATATATACTCCTTGAGCTGTTATTTTCTTTCCTTTGTTATGTCTATTAAGCTTATTAAAGGGATGGGCAGGAGAGTCAACATTTATTGAGCACCTACTAGGTGCCAGGCACTGTGCTGTGTGCTTCAGATGTATTATTTAATACTCAAAACAGCCTTATGAGATAGGTACTCATCCCTCATTTCAGGTAAGCAAACTAAGTAACTTTCCTCTAATTCAGGTTTCTCTGTTTTAATTATAAAAGACGTATAAATTGATAGTGATATTGTAATAGTCGATGTAGCTATTGATGGTAGCTACACTTGTGTTGAACTTAGCATAGTGTATAAACTTGTGGAATCACTATGTTGTAACATTGTGTGTCAACCATACAAAAAAAAAATGTATAAATTGGTGATGGTTTTCTGTCAGACCTGCAAACCAGTTTTGTCTCCGCCTTTCCCTTATGTTTTATGGTATTGGTTCCCCTTTTGTGACTCTTCCAGGGAATGGTCATATATAGACAACCTCCCTACCGCTTGTGAGACCCTGAATCCTGACGATGGTGTTATTGACTTTCCTAGGGTCCTATCCTTCCCCTAAAGCTGGGGCAACTCTGGTCGTGTACAAGGACCTGCTGGTGCTGTTTGGTGGCTGGACGCGGCCAAGCCCTTATCCCCTACACCAACCAGAGAGATTCTTTGATGAAATACATACTTACTCACCCTCTAAAAACTGGTAAGCCACAAAGATAAGATTCTTCCAATCTGGAATAAAAGATTTCAGATAAATGGATTCCTGGGGTGCCTGGGTGGCTCCGTCAGTTAAGCGTCTGACTCTTGATTTCAGCTCAGGTCATGATCTTGCCATCCTGAGATCAAGTCCCTCCTTGGGCTCCACTCTGAGTTCCTCACTGGGCATGGAGCCTATTTAGGATTCTCTTTCTCCTTCTGCCCCTCCGCTGCTTGTGCTCACTCTCTCTCTCTCTCTCCAAAAAAAAAAAAAAAATAATATATATATATATATATACACACACACACACACACACACACACACATATTTATATATACATACATATATGAATAAATGAATCTTTTCTGTGACCAGGAATCTCTTTGAGAATTTGGTAAAAGCTATGGACTCTTTTCCAGGAAAAAAATTTACATATGCATAGATTTTGCTGACAGTTTCAGAGAGTTTACACGACCCCCTGAAAACCTAAAGCTAAGGGGTGTCCAGCTGGCTCAATCGGTAAGAGCACGTGACTCTTGATCTCCAGGTCGTGAGTTCAGGCTGATAGAGCTTACGTTTTTAAAACATTTTTGTTGTTGTTGTTGTTGTTAAGTTTAGAGAAAAGGTTAAAAATTTTTTGAAAGAAAAAGAAACTAAAGCTATGACCCTTTATTCCCAAGAGAAAAAGTGGAAGAGATTTATTCCTCTTCCTAGAGAAATGAATGTGCCAGTTGGAGAATAGTTCTGGCTGCTAATTCCCCAGGTGTGCTGTGGATTCAGATGATTCATTGTTCCTTCTGTGTCCCCAAGACTGACTCCTGACTCTTTTTCCTTTGTTCTTGGAACAGACTACTTAGTACAGGGCTCTCAGTAGCTGCAGCTGATCGGGACTGTAGAAGGAAGTACAGGTGATGCTCCTTTAGCACGCTAGCCTGGAGCGGCGAAGAGCCACGATGGCTTCCCTGGTCCTCTCTCCGCTCTACCTCCAAGCCATACACACTGAGAACTTGAAAGTGAATATAGCTTTAGCAGGTTTATAAGAAGGGCATAAATACCTTCTGCCATCCTCCATTTATTGTCCTACCAGTAGCTCTACTGAAGGTGATAGAATCGTCACGTCAAGTGGATACTGACTTACTGCTGCCACCTGAAACACATACGACCAGGTGGTGCTGACTTCTTGGCTTCTTTCTGTCTTTTTATATTAGGTGGAACTGCATTGTGACAACCCATGGGCCACCTCCCATGGCTGGCCATTCCTCCTGTGTGATAGATGATAAAATGATTGTCTTTGGTGGCTCCTTAGGATCCCGGCAAATGTAAGTATATTTGGTTTGCTGACTATCAACCTGAAGGTAAATACTCCTGGGAATAACAGGTCAGAAGAGTGAACTAGTCAGGTTAGTATTCCTGAGCATGGTTCTAATTAATCCAACCACGTGTTGCTTCCTAGCATTCCAGTTGTTGATCCCCTCATCATAGAGCAATACATTGGAAACCTTCCTCCATAAAGTCAGAGCTGTGTAGGATCTTTTTATTTGGTATGTGGTTCATTCGGTGGGATCAAATTCTGAGATAGCCTCCACCTTGTCTGTTTCTACCTGTGCTTACGGAAGGCTGCTGTCCAAGAAGCACAGGGTGCTTTTACCTGCTCTCCTTTGTGAGCCAGTCTGTGCCCTTTTGGGCTTTAGCAGAGAGAGCTAGATTGACAGGACAGGTGAAAATGGTTCCTTCTCCAGACAGGATGGGTTGGGGGAGTGGGTAGGAGCAAGAAATCTGTCAGGTCTGATACACCGACTATCCTCATCATCTCTGGCCATGACTCAGCAGCTCAGGCCAACGTCAAGAGCCAGAGCCATCCATCTGAATCCCTCTTTATCTGGTTTGGTGGTAGCTGCAGTAGTGGTCATTTTCCCTGTGCTCTGAAAGGCAGGTTGATGGGCTGTCAGGCAGTAAAACCATTCCAGACCCAACCCTGTTCCCTGTCAGGCAGCGTACCCCACATCTTCCTGTTTTAAAACAGTTGAGACACCGTGAGCTGCCCTTCAGCTGAGACAGTTTAGGGCTTTACGGTATTAGAGTTCTTATTCCGTGTTCCTCTATGTGAATAAACGACCTTAGCAAGATGACTGTAAAATAGAGACTGCCTTCCAGGAGTCTGTCCTTGCCGTACTGGTCCCTTGGGGGTTGGAGATGCCAGTTTGTCCTTGATAAAACTGCAAATCTCATTAGCCACGGTGAAATTAATTTGTATAGCCAGAATTGACAAATCTTTATCTCCTAGACAATCATAGAGCTACTTTTTGCATCAGTTTTTTTCTCTTCCTTGTGGCTTTTGCTTTTGAAAGACTGTATCTTGACCAGTAGCTGTTGCCAATTAAACTTCCAACGAAAATTCATTCTTACTTTAGATACTAGTATGTCGCTGTAGGTTTGACTCAAAAGAGGACTTACGGGTCAGTGGGAAGAACAAAGGTTTGAAGTTCTTGAGGTGGGTTCCAGGGAAAGAAGAGGAAGAAAAATATAATTTAAGATGGCATCAGCATGGCACTTTGCTAGGCATCTTTATAAATGTGACTTCAAGGGGCACCTGGCTGGCTCAGTTGGTAGAGCATGCAACTTTTGATCTCAAGGTTGTGAGTTCAGGCCCCATGTTCAGCATGGAGCCTACTTAAAAATAATAATAAATAAAATATCAATGTAACTTCATTTATATCAGCTCTGGGGTCCCTGGTGGCTCCTGACTCCTTCATTCTCCTGTCCTTATCTTATAGGAGCAACGATGTCTGGGTCCTTGACCTCGAGCAGTGGGCGTGGTCCAAGCCGAACATCTCCGGCCCCAGTCCTCATCCTCGAGGTGGCCAATCTCAGGTGCTCAGGAATTAAAATAACTATTCAGCAAACACTGTAGCATCTTCCTGTTAGGATGGGAAAGGGAGGAGGGAGTCAGGTAAGATGCCAACATGCATAAGCCAAAGAGACTTTGTCGTTCTTTTTTGCTGGTATTTATTTTTCAACTTCTAATGGGTTGTATTAATTTTTAGTGGCTTTATATTATGCCTCTCCCCAAAGCATTTACTTTGCTATTTCATTTCTCAAGAGAACCCTGCATTTTATGTGGTTGGTACGCTCATTTTAATGTTTGATCAACAAAGGATATATCCATTCAGGTGAATCATCAGTAATTTGCCCCCAGACATCAGAATTAACATGGTTTGGGGAGACTGGAGAGCTTATGATGACTAGAATACTCTCATTTGGGATCTGGGTAGGCTGTTTTCATATACCACTGATGCGTAGGAGGTCAGGTGCCTGTGTCTTTGTAGTTTTATTTTAAATGTCTTCCTCTCTCCAGATTGTCATAGATGATGCAACTATCTTAATCCTTGGAGGGTGTGGCGGTCCCAACGCTGTGAGTATTGCTGGTGTGGCATATTCCGATGCACACGTTGCTAAGTGTTCGAAACTTGTTTCCCTGTGTCACCTTGTAAGCAGTGATAAGACCATTTCCACATTTGTACTTAGAGAATACGTTTTCACTTTGGGTATATATATAACCTTTGTATTTTCTGGCTGAGATCTGCTTTTTGTTTTTGTTTTTTGGAGGGGGGAGAGGTGCTTTTAATCAGAGATGTTCGTCTCTTAAATATTTGTATATTCTCCCTACTCCTACTTCCTCTTTTAGGCTGTAATGTGCTGTCATGTTTCTAGGAGGAGTGGGACAGAAAAACAGTTTACATGGAATTTATTTAAGAATGCAGATTCAGAAAGTTATGGATATGTATTATTTACGCCACCTACACATGCGCTGTACCACAGGCAGAATTTAGAACCACTTAAAATTCATTCGTAGGTCACAAGCACAGTTTCATATTTCCAGGCCAGTGGTGGTATATGAATAAATGAAGGGGCATGAATGAATGGCTAACCAAAAATTTTGCTCTTCTGAAGAGCCCACACACTCTCTAGACCAAACAGCATGGCTTTGAGATTCCAACTGTGTGTGTATGTTTTGTGAACTGTACCACACCTGAGCCCTCCTGTCGGTCCTTCTCTTACAGCTCTTCAAGGATGCTTGGTTGTTGCACATGCATTCAGGCCCCTGGGCCTGGCAGCCACTCAAGGTAGAAAATGAAGATCATGGGGCTCCAGAACTGTGGTGCCATCCAGCTTGCCGGGTGAGCAGAGGACTGACAGGCCAGTGAGAGAGGACGTCCTAACTGTAGGGCCAAATTAGCTCGTCAGACTTCCAAGCAAATTTGTATAGAAATGAAAAACACCTTGACATCATAAAAGAAGTGGGCATTAACCATAACTCCTTGGGCATTGCTCATATATGTACCTTTAGATGAGAAACCTGCGTGGGCCCCACTGATCCTTTTTTTTTTCTTTTAAGTGTATTTATTTATGTAATCTCAACACCCAACGTGGCGCTCGAACTCACAACCTCAAGATCAAGAGTAGCACGTTCTCCTGACTGACCTAGTCAGACGCTCCCCACCCCACCCCACCCCACCCCATATACCCCACTGATCCTTTTAGTGCTAGCTTTTTTTTTTTTTTTAATTTTTTTTTTTTTTAACGTTTATTTATTTTTGAGACAGAGAGAGACAGAGCATGAACGGGGGAGGGTCAGAGAGAGGGAGACACAGAATCTGAAACAGGCTCCAGGCTCTGAGCTGTCAGCACGGAGCCCGACACGGGGCTCGAACCCATGGACCGTGAGATCATGACCTGAGCCGAAGTCAGCCGCTTAACCGACTGAGCCACCCAGGCGCCCCTAGTGCTAGCTTTTTAAGCATCTCTTTGTCTATGAACCTTTCTTCAGGGTCCCCAAACCAAAACTGATTCCTCCCTCCACCCCTCCCCTGTCCTGTACATACAACTCTAATGGTAACACCTGTCTTGCTCCAGCAAAAATTATCCCCATGTCTATCTCCCCTTCTAGCCTAGAAGGCAGGCTCCATTATTTTCATCTCGGTGTCTCAGGTACCTACAAAGTGCCTGGCCTCCCCAGATGCTCATGATCAAATGTTTGCCGTTTAGACGAATGATCAGAACTGAGCACAGGTCTTTTGTCTTCCAGGTGGGGCAGTGCGTGGTGGTCTTCAGTCAGGCTCCTAGCGGGAGAGCCCCACTCAGCCCAAGTTTGAACTCTCGCCCATCACCTATCAGCGCCACTCCTCCAGCCCTGGTTCCCGAAACCCGAGAGTACCGCTCTCAGTCTCCAGTAAGGAGTATGGATGAAGCTCCTTGTGTTAACGGCCGCTGGGGAACACTGAGGCCCAGAGCTCAAAGGCAGACCCCCTCAAGTTCCCGGGAAGGGAGCCTGTCCCCAGCCAGAGGAGATGGCTCCCCCATCCTCAATGGTGGGAATTTGTCTCCAGGAACAGCAGTGATTGGTGGCTCTTCCTTGGACAGCCCTGTGCAGGCCGTGTCTCCTAGCACTCCATCTACCACTGACGGATATGACCTCAAAATGGGACTTTCTTTGGCCCCCCGACGAGGGTCACTACCAGATCAGAAAGATCTGAGGTTAGGATCAATAGATCTGAATTGGGATCTGAAACCCACTTCGAGTAGCAATCATATGGATGGTGTGGACAACAGGACAGTTGGGGGAAGCACGAGACACCCTCCCGAACAGACGAATGGTGTGCATACCCCACCACACGTGGCCAGTGCCCTTGCAGGGGCTGTCTCCCCAGGTGCCCTGCGTCGGAGCCTAGAAGCCATCAAAGCAATGTCATCCAAAGGCCCCTCAGCGTCCACAGCACTAAGTCCTCCTCTGGGGTCTTCTCCAGGCTCCCCCGGGAGCCAGAACCTGAGCAGTGGAGAAACAGTGCCCGTCCCTCGCCCAGGGCCTGCCCAAGGAGATGGGCATTCCTTACCTCCCATTGCCCGCCGCCTGGGCCACCACCCTCCGCAGTCCCTGAATGTTGGCAAACCTTTGTACCAGAGTATGAACTGCAAGCCCATGCAGATGTACGTGCTAGACATTAAAGACACCAAGGAGAAGGGGCGGGTCAAATGGAAAGTATTTAATAGCAGTTCTGTGGTCGGACCTCCTGAAACCAGCCTGCACACAGTGGTACAAGGCAGGGGCGAACTCATCATATTTGGAGGACTCATGGACAAGAAACAGAATGTGAAGTACTATCCAAAAACAAACGCCTTGTACTTTGTGCGAGCAAAGAGATAATATGTTCTAAACCCCCTTCCCTTTCTGTGGCTTTTAATTTTCCAGTGTGCAAGCATTTGGACTGCGAATTGGGAAAACAAAGGACAGAATTACCCCATAAACCAAACCCCCAGTTCCCAACCTCACTCACTGCAGGCTGGGGTCAAACCTCCATTACGAAAAAAATTATATATAAATATATAAATATATATTATATAGCCAACTGTGTTTACAGAGAGGGAGAGGTCTCCGTCCTGGTTCAGATCAAATTGTTGCTGTGTTTTAGCAGAGGCTCGGCTGCCTTTTTCTACATTGCTGGTAACTAGACCAAGAATTTAGGGAACAGACTAATGTCAGAACGTAACCTAAGGCAACTGAAGAGCCCCCATAAGTCCTTACGTGGCCTTCTTGGAGTTAGAGAAAGAAAGAGCGTGTGTAAGGTGCACAGGTGGAGGCTCCAGACCCACGAGCTCCAGGAGCTGGCAGGGGGAAAGGAGCCCGTAGAGAACTGTTCCTCCCTTCCCTTGAAAAGCACAGAGGACCCGAGCGGTAATGCCCTCTGCCTGGCCCCGTTCTGCCCTCGTGACTGAGGAAAGTTACCCAGCCGGGAATTCTTTTCCACATGTGTGTGCCAGGATCACCGTGAGACGATGTTTATGCAGACACGCCTGTCTACCTCGTGTCCACTGGTCTTTTGCGTGCTCCCTCTGTGTCTCAGAAAAAACATTTTGGTGTCTGATTTTGGAATTTTCTGACAATCGTATTTGATTGCAAGTTGCCAAAAACCACATTTGTTCCCTTAAAACTTGATCCTCAGAGGCTGCCTTTTTCTTTTCTTTTTTTGGTGGGGGGGGCATATGTGGATTTTTTTTTTTTTAAGCCCTAAAAGCTTTCTCATTTTCTGTTTCTCTTACAAAGCTAAGGTGCCCAGGGAAATCTCTTAGAGATATTTCTTTTCTGGAACCCTTTCTCTGGTATCACTTAGGAGGCTGGTAGGGAATTCCAAGATGCCAGTATCATGAGAAATCCTTGAAGCATCAAAAAATACTGTTTTTTCCCTTTGGGGCTTGTTTTTACTTCCAGAGCACATGGGGCCCACCCGTCCATATTCATGCAATGTGGAAATTGATCCTGGAAGGAAATCCTAGTGATAGCTCCTTCTAGAAATGATTTTTGCCCTTGTCGCGACATGCGTTTTTCTGCCTGGCTGTTGAGTGGTGGTTGGGTTGAGCATCATGTGCTTAGCGTCTTTGCAAGGCTGACCTCGGGAGCAGCCCCTCCTTTGTGATTGTGCTGTTCACGTATATGACACAAATAAGGTTTGGGTTTTTATTTCACGCCATTTCTGAGATAAAGTGCAACCAACTGGAGCATGTCTTTGGTTGACATAGGAAGTTACAAGTTTACCAATCTTCTTGGAAGTTACCAGTCTCTAAACCATGGTCTGGACGTAGGAGATGTTAGAATAAAGTCAAATGTCACCACTTCAATGTGGATTCTTGGTGATTTCTCATCAGTGCAAAGAGGATTTTTACTTTGCCCTTAGGATTTGAATTTCAAAACATTGCATTTCCCATCTTTCACACTCCCCTTTTTCTTGTTCGCATTTCCCAAGCACAAGCCTGCTACAGCTGGCCCTGGGTCCTGGCTCTCGGCCAGCACTTAGCAGTCTGTCCGATAAGTGTGTTTTCTCCTATTACATCATGTTGAATTCTTTCCCCTGGCCATTAGCTTTTACAATGTGGTCTTGGTGGGAAAGCCCTGTGGTGCCAAGCGCAGGAAGGGGCCAGCTCGCAGGGAGAGGTCTGTGTTCTAGAAACTGTTCCATGTGCTCCCTTAGATGAGGAAACTACCAAGCCTGCTTGCTGTGGTGTGCACCTACTCACAGCTCAGCACTTAGCTTTCCAGACTCCTCGCTCTTGGGCTGTTGCCGGTCCTTCTTTGGCAAAGACTGTTAGACCACGTGGGGTCCTTATTCACAAGATAAAGCAGCCTGTGAGATTAGATACTACACTATTGCTATTGCTGAACCTTGTTTATGACGTTGCACTTGCGCATGGACAGCATCTCCTAACTCAGTTCCTATTGAAATATAAAGTATTTGGAAGCCTGAAAGTTCAGACTCTCAACTTGGTGATCATTCCCTTTGTCCTGTGGCCTCCCTAAGCCAGCTGTTAGCTCCCCAAACAGGGAGGCAGTGGAGATGATGATGCTCTTAGAAAGTAACCAGCTCCTCGGCACTCCGTGGCATCCAGTATTGTCTACACCGCTCCGAACCAGGCTGTTGACAGCTCCTTAAGAAAAATTTGCCTCATCCGCACCCGGTGGTGTTGGTCTCGGTGGCTCCTGGGCACTGTGGGCAGATACCTTAGGAGAGCGACTCGACACAGTCAAGGCAATTGTGTCCTCAGGCCCTTGTGAAGCCACACGCGCGCGCGCTGGGACTCCAGGCGTCTCGGCTGCGGAGAGCGTTCTGCCAGCCCCCCCGGGGTGCTTCCGCCAGGTCACATCTAACCACAACTCTGGTTTTTGACATGACGCCAGTTTTGTCTTAAAATTCACTGAGAAAAAGGAGACAATTTCTTAAGCCTTCAGGACCACCTAAATTAGCAACTATTTATCAGTATTTAAGTATTTAAAATACATTTTGTTTCTACTTGAAGCTTTAACCCCTTCCATTCCTGCAAGTGTGCCTTTGTGAGCCCCATGTCCTGTCCGCTTCATCGGCCACCCTGCTGAGACTCTCACGTGAGAGTCTTGGTGTCTTCCTTCCCTCTTGGACGGAGCTTCCCTTTCCTCACTTTCCAGGCTGGGCAGCAGAGAGGGTTCTGTGTTTTCGCTCACATTTCTACTAACGTGGATGGTGGGCTGCACAAACACCCCTTCATCCCCCCCAAATAGTATATTTTAGGAGCACAAATGAGGTGTTGAAACAAGCTTAAATTTAGTTGTAATACTAGGCTCACTCTCCTTCCAGCCTTCTACGGATTGATCTGATTTTAATGTTTGAGTTCTGTATCAAGAGCTAAAACCATGAACTATATCCTAGGAACTGTGTTGGAACTCTTTAGAGAAAAGAAGAGGAGGATGAAAGAAAACCAGCTTGAGAAGTCTTGACTTTGGAGAACAGAAAGCCACCAGCTGTTGGAGAACAGAGGGATACTTCCTGTCCTCTGACTTTATCTTTCTGTGTTTCCGCCTGCTTTGCTCTTTCCTTCCCCGTAAAAGTGATGTTCCTGGTGGGTTTGTCTGTCTGTCCTTGTCCTTGTGGTGATCCTGGCATGGTGATGTGCTCTGCTTTGCGTTGTCTGTGCTCTCTTACCAGTGCACGAGTCAGTGGGGAGGATCTGAATACCCCCAGGGGCAAGGAAGCCGAACTCTGAGGCCTGCATCCCGTGCAGCCTCCCCGCGAAGTGCAGAAGGCATGTTCTGCACGGTCACCAGTAAGTGGCTCCCTCTCACTCTGTCCCTTGTCAAATGAGAGCAACCCCTAGGTGTTAACTCCACCCCTGCTCTCTTTCCTTCGCTCTGCTCCCCTCCCACCAACCAGGGTACATGTCAGCGCACACCCATCGTGCCCTGGCGAAGCTGGTGCTGTGAGTGAGGTTTCCCTGCAACTCAGGGGTCCCAGGTGGCTTCCCCTGAGATGGTCATCTTAGGCACGTAACAGTGTAGGAATGAAAAGTGGGCTTCACTAATATCTAAATCTCTGTCTGTTTCATTTTTTGTTAAGGTTTTCCCTGATGACTTTTTAGCAATTTAACAAATAAAACAAAATGGACAGAATTGTCTTAACTGTTTCATTAGTAGAAAAGAAAGAAGGAAGAAAGCTGTAGTAGCAAGCAGTTGAGGTTGGAGACGGAAGTTGAAAGCAAGGTAGTTGGGAGACTCCCTCCTCCTCTGGGAGGGGTGTGTTTTGGGGTTGAGGTGGAGAGCTGCCCTTCCCCAGGGACAGCTCCATTTAACAGTGACGTGGCTCCCTCAGTCCTGCTTGAAGGACTTGGTGTTTCAGAGCCTCAGTTACTACCCTGTGGTGCACACCTAAGAGAGGTGATCAGCTTGGAGCGGAGGCCCCGGGGGCCAGGACAACAGCCACCCCGTCACTGGCCTCCTGGGCAAGACGAGGACACGGAGCCCTTGGATCTTGGGACATAGTCGCAGATGGTGGTGAGAAGCAGGCCTGCGGCTCTAGAGGCCTCTGACCTGATCTCGCCTTCCCCCTGTTAGTACTTCCCCTTGGATACAGGTTTCCTCATCTGTAGTTTTAGTTGTTTTTATCTGAAAGGATCGTGAGGGTGAACCGAAGTTGAATACGAAAGCACTAGCACAGGCCCTGGCACATGGCGAGAGCTCGTTAGGTGGTGGGTAGTGTTTGTAATTAACCCTTGAGAAAAATACAGGATCGTGAAGGAAAGGGTTGGGCTCGTCGTGTAAACCGTCACGAGCGTGCCCCTGCTGAGGATTATGCGTGTCTGTGGTCGTCCGGGTCATCTTTTAGACGTCACCGTGAGAACCTCTGGGGCTTTTGCCTCTCGAGAGCAGTAAGTAGCAGCTGCTGCCATCAATCAGGTCAGAACTGTCTCATCGTTTAATCTCCCTTCCGGACTTCATTCTGCGGTGTGCTCGTTGAATTCTGCCTCCGGCACGTGAGGTGTCCTTCTGCCTGGTTGCAAGGGCACAGTTAGTGGGCTCCCAGTTTGGAAGTGTCGATTAGGGACCGACGACACGAGTCTGCCCGGTTGTGTGGGGGCCTGGGAGGAGACAGGCACCACCAGGGCAGGGGGCTGCCCCAGTGCTGAAGCCACCTGCCAGGTGTGTGCCAGATCCTCACACCCACGGGCCTTTGGGCCGAGCACCATCACGGGCTTTTCGTTCAGCGGTTACTGTACCAACTTCGTCCCAGGTTCAGGTGCTGTGGAGCTGCGGCTGTCATCCCGTCTGCACGGTTGTGTTTCCCAAGCTGTGGGGTGAACCTTCCACCTCTAACAGCAGGTGGTCTGATGCTGTCTGTTCCGTTTACC